CAAAGCAAAGATTGAAGATTGAAGACCAAAGAGCGAAGACTGAAGATCAAAGACTTGATCCCTAATAAATTTTGAGACTTACGCAGACTGCAAGGAACAAAAACGCTGAACTCGTTTTGTTCGACTGTCAGAGAAACGAAAATATTGTTAAAGAAATTCGCTTTAACGCTTTAAAAGTCTGAGGTCGAAACAAATTAGATCATTAGCATATTGATTTGAAGAAATACCCGTCACAAAACAAACATCCTCGCTAAAACTACAAATTGATGCGAAAACAGCTGACATTGGTGGAGTCTTCGCTTCTTTTGGTGGAAATCTACCTAAGCATTTAATTTAAAACGAAAACCCTCGGAAACTTCATAAAGACGTTGGGCATAGTACGTGGGAGGGTATTTTTACAGCTTGAAGAATAAAGCGAATATCATTAAGGAAAGACTGTATAGTTTTTAGCTTCGGTGGCAGTGAAAACTTCCAGACGTTTTTAACAGTGTTCTCTTTTGTTTTTTTAAAAACGTTGCTAGAAACTGAAACGAAGCTGAAATGAAAAAAAAAGAACGATCGGATTGCATTTTGTCACGAGCTGGAAAAGGTAGCGAAGTCGGAGTCTCCAGCGAGGACTCAAACCCTTAGGCCTTTGAATTTCGCGTTCCGATGGAGCATGTTTACGCTGCACGCTGCACGCTGCACGCTGCACGCTGCACGCTGCACGCTGCACGCTGCACGCTGCACGCTGCACTTTGTCCCAAGCTTGTGAAAAACAAAATAACATCTCTCTATTTTCAACCATCAAGCCCAAAATTCGCAATACTTCTTCCTATAACTTAAAGTTTCTAATTACAATCAAAAAATGAGATAACAGCAAATGAGAAACCTTTATCGTTTTCTCTCAGTAGAATAAAATAAGACGATGATAAAGCGACCCAAAGAAGTGACTTCAGCGGTCTATATGATTTTTCTTCTAAAATATATTTAATATTTAATTTAAAATTAAATATTTAAAATGCGTGTGTGAGCAAATTAATAAAATGTTTATTCGAATCTATTAAAAAACAGTCGTGGTTCAAAAGTCTGTTCCCATCTGACACGTGAACGAAAGGAGTGAAAAACAAAGGTATATTATTCTTATTTTTTTAAGTCTTGTAAATAGCGACGCGTTAGTTGATGGCGCTCTCACTCGTGATGTTAGTTTTTCAATGTCAGTATCAATTAAATAGCTAATAAACTGTCTGAAGCGCCAGAAAACGAGAATGAATAAGTCGTTAGTGGCTTTAGTTTTGGCAATCATTAAGAAAAGGAAAGGAAAATAAATCCAATCCTGGATAATTTCGACACAATTTACAAATTATCCATTCAATTTGCTTGACATCAAAAGGCAACGATCATTTTAAAGCGTGCGACTAAGGGCCAGGGATTATGAAATACCGTTGGAACCTTTTGTCATTTGAAACGAAATTGAGTTAATAAAAAATATATATTTCATTGAAGTTTAACTCAATAGTGTAAAGAAACAAAACAAACCTTTCCAGCACAGTTTGTACAATAAGATCAATTTCTTTACCCTTCATTTTTATTTGAAAATACATTATTGTTAGCCGTCTCTTCTCACCATGGAGAAACGTATAAGGTAGTGCTATCGCATTCTTGATGATAAATATTCATGTTGCATTGTTGATACAGATGAAAGGAGAGTTATGTACTTTTTAGCGATGTAAAAATTCAATACGAGAACCATGGTTCCTTTCCAGAACCATGGCAGGAAAAGGAAAAGGGGAGATAACACAGAGAGATTTCAATCATGCGAACACACCAGGGCTTTTTTTAATTGATCAGAGACAGTGATTGAGATAAATTACATTTCAGCACTGTGGCAACCGGCCATATTTTTACAGGTTGAGAAAAACAAAGACTTAGCTCTAAATGTTTTCATTTTCTAGAACATAATTTTTAACACGAGTGCAGTCTCTGACGTGAAAGAATAGCAAGATCATTTCAAAATCGTTTCTATAGCAGGTTATGACCTCATGTAAAACGCGTCGTTTCTTTCTTGCTTGAAACAAAAGCTAAGAGCAAACAGGTGGTCAGCTGTGTAATTTAAAACCAAATTAAACAAAGCGTACAAAAAGCTTATACTTGCTAATAATTTCTAAAAGCCATTTCATTGATTCGCGAGCTGCTTGTAGAATAATCCTCTGGAGAGCAGGAAAAGGAAAAACGCTACCATGAATCCCGCGTCTTTGATTTTACTCGTGGCATTATTTTTAGTTCAAGGTAGGCCTGAATATACTGCCGTTGAAAAATAAGACATTTTTGTAGCTGCTCTTTTATGCACTACAAAACGGCTCATTTTGCGTACTTCTCAGTACTCCTCTCATTCTCACCATAACGTTTTTAAGAATAATTCTCCTGCCTCTTACGCCTGATTCTGACCCCAAACTCATTCAATCAATAAATCCTAAAGACTCTCTTAGTAACCCTCCCAATTCCCTTACAGTGGTAGTCGTTTGTGAAACGTTTTTTTAATGTTCTTCATTGACGTTAATTCTGTGTTAAACGTTATTTTGGATAACAAAGTTCCTACTGTAACTAAGTGTGTCTCACTTACGCATTGACCACTTTTTATTGCATTCTTATTTTAAAGCTGAGTTTTTTTCTTAAATGAAAGTACATATTACTGAATCGACTGAGTGTCTTGAAACCGAAGGTTGTCAACGTTAGTGATGAACCGACACCGAAATTTCTTATGGTGCGAAAGTTGTGTGCCAATTGCTTGCGCGTGAACACGATGTAAAAAAAAAGGCTAAAAGAGACAATATTAATGCACCATGCACTATACATATCGTATTTTGAAATCCCAAAAGGGAAGCGGTCGAAAGACTAAAGGTTTACTAGCATTTTTTGTACCTTTTTTATTGTTATACCATAAAATTTTCCATTATTTAATGTCCTCTTAATGTTAGTGTTTATAAAGACCTTACACCAACAATCCAATCAGCACACATTATTTACGCACTTCTCACAGCTACACAATGTGTCCAAACACTAAAGGTTGCCAAGAGCTGTGTTCTGGCACCGATAATATTAATCAAGGAAACGTGGCGTGTTCCCTTTGCATTGTACAAAGAAGGGCACGACGTGTTTAACCATCACTCTTTAACTCGTTGTGTCAAAAAGGAAAAATGTCAGCTCTTGAAATTTAAAAACGGAATAGGATTAAACGTTTGCCGAATTAGAAGAAAAAGAGAGAGAAAGAATAGGCCTAAATATCCACACAATATGTTCATGCTTATGTCCCGCTATTTACTGCTAAAGTTTAGCATTGAAATCCAAAAGATGACGCAACCTGAAAAATAAAACGAAAGCCATGTATTTACTTATGGCGTTCTTTCATGATTGCAGACCACTATACACAGAGAGATCACTCGGCTGTCGCTTCCCGCTGTAAGGGAAAGAAATTACCTCCGGCTTCTTTTTTAATTTGAAATTTTTGTCTCAAAAAATGATCTGGAGAGCAGCAGCGCAAAATTGTTCCCGTAAAAGGAATGTTACTTCAACGAAGTTCGTCTGACCATCAACACAGACTTCTTTTCGGTAATTTCACTGTAGAAGCTAGATTTTGACGTATCATAAGATACCAAGCTTGTAATAAACGGCAATGTGATGGAAGTAAAAATTAAAGCAGAACATCTCTGACATGTTTTTGCATAGGGAAGCCTTTATTTAGGGACTATAGTTTTAGAACATAACCTATAATTCAAATAATTATGAACAAATTGTTTATTGAGGTATACGCGGGATTTTTAAACTTTTATGCATTATTAAATCTACGCTTTTTCATTTTTTTTGTTCCTGATGGACCGTCGATCCCAAAAAAATAATCATAAACTGTAAAATGGCAGTAAAGCTGCTTTTCCCATTTTTCTCTCTGAAAAAGTTCACCAAAAAACTTCTCCTTTCTGCCGTTAGTGCGCCGATCTTGCAAAACAGGTGTTGTGTTATCATCGTTACCATCATTCGCTTTACTGACGTTATCATTATTATTATGACTATCATTTTATTACCACTGATGGCGTCATTTTGCAGTGTACTTGTTTGAAATACTCAAGTTGTACTATTTACAACTTTATTTTTGCCGCTAACAAATCAGGTTTTTCCATCAACCACTTGCAGAAAGTCATTGTGAGCCTGATTACGTAACCAATTTGAAGAAATACTTTAATGATGGATACCACACAGGAACCTACTACAAAAAAATCTCTTCGAAAGGAGGTAGTTCATTTACTTTCTTTGTTTCTTGTAAAACTTGATTTAATTTTCCTTCTTGTTCTGACAGCTTAACACCGCTAGAAGAAAGGAGAAATCCAGTGACCAATTATAGTGCCCCCCTACATTGCTGATCCCAAAATAAAATTACTGACCATTAACTTCTCGGCTAAGAGCACGTCTCAATTAAGTCACTGGTGATTCATCTCCACTTTCTGAGAGGAAAAGAAACAAAAACGAGTGAAAACAAACTGCTCAGATCAACAAAAACATGCGTTTAAAGAAAAGATGTTCTCAGATGCAGTTAGTTAAGACTGCTTTTTCTGCGAAGTAAGATTAAGCCAGTAACCCTAAGTCGGTACAAAAAAGTAACAAACTTTGATTATCACTTTATTGGGATTTTATTGGTTGGCGTCTTTATCAAAATTTAAGATCAAGTCTCAGTAAAAATGAAAATATTGACAACGATTTTTCCGTTTTTTGGTAGAGCTAGAAACCGAAGCCAAGAATGTATTTCGCGAATTTCTGACAGCCATGGAGTATAAGGATATTGAACGGTTCTTCAACGAGTGGAAGATGACATTTAAGAGCGATGGACCATTCACATCTGAACAGGATCTCGGTAATCTGGAGAAGGCAATGACCGATCCTAATGATTTTATGGTAGGGACATTTCTAAAGAGTTCAATTAAAATAAGCTAATGGTGTGTAGGGGAAAAGAGCGTGAATTTTCCAAAAGAAATTTAAGCCATTTTTACTACTGATAAATAATACAGAAGTACAAGTTTGGAAAATATTAATTGTGATAGGCAGTCTCACACGCTAAGGACAGCAAACGAATTACAACTAGAACATTTTTTGTTCAAAATAACATTAGACCTTGCCTCGTCCCTTTTATGCAGTTTACCCTTAAAGTGGGACTCTCTCTGTTTTTGTACATTAAGAGGTCAATAATGGCATAAATTGATGTTCTTTTTATAATAACCTTAATCTGTGGAACCTGCATTAAGCGGTCAACCTGTGTCAAGTACTAATACCTTTTTTCAGGCTCACAGTGGTAAAAGCTGGTGTTGATAAAAAACAAATTACAATTCTTTACAACAGTTTAGTAAGACAACTACGTTTCAAACAACCATGATTTACAGTACTGACAGCATTTAGAAGGATATGCAGACAAAGTCCCAAGCGCAAAGGTTGAGACACTAGTCTTATTGTCTCTGAACGCTCAGCTTCAGTTTCAATCTCTTTCTGTTTTCTTCTTATCTTTTATAACTGTCTTCACCAATAGACAAGCTTGTATATTGGCGATCTTCTAACCAATCGAGACGACGCAGATCAAGCAACAGAGGCTTACAAAGAAGCATTTGTGTCAAAAGACGATGAAAGAGTAAGTTTTGGCATAAGTATAACTGGACGTATAAGTAAAATGTTGTTATAATTACTATCATCATCATTATCATCGTCATCATCGTTGTCAATGTCAGTGTCATTCTCGTAATCACCATCACTATCGTTATCATCAGTACTTTTATTTTATCATCATTATTATTAACATTTGATTTGAAAAAGAAAGGTCATGGGTGATGAAATAAATAGGTTCTGAAAAGAATATCAGTAGCCATTCCTAGTTCACCCGGGAATCTGATTTTCCACCTGAACTCTTGTTTTAAAATCTTGTCATTGTTGTTGACATTGATCTCCATATATCTATGCACTACCCACCTATTAGTTTTCGCGCGATTCTATTGGCTACGTTATATCAAGTAGTGCAAAATCACAGGACAGTTATTGGACAATAACCTCCTTCTACGTCGTTACTTGTCCTCTGATTATTTCCGTCGAAAAGAAAGCTGTTTCACTTTTTCATCTTTGATATTCACAGCGAATTCGTTTTGTAGAATCCAGTAGTAGTGATAGTAAAAAGCTGTTCTAAAATGCTGCTCCGGAAAGTACAAAAAAATCCACAGAATTCACGGTCAACTTGCGTTACAAAAATTAATGGGAGGGTTATTGAATAAATATACCCCCTTCTGGTTTCGTGATATTTCAACTGATAATGTCCTTGGCTGAGAGATTGTCCTCTAAATGTCACAATTCCCCAAGAAGCTTCGCTTCTCTACCAAATATTCAGTTTTCGGACAATAACTCAGCCGCGAACATTATCAACCGACATACCAGTTACCTGAAAGGGGTTCATTTACTAAATCAAAACAAAAAAAATTCTACAAATTCAGATACGACGAAAAAACGTCTGAAATGCATACAAAAAAAGGAAAGATTCATATGGCCCACTGACTAAAGATGCATAGAGGTGTACGCCATTAATCTTGGACTTCCTTGGTGATTATGTTTCATTAGGTGGCGTTGTTCTACCTGGGAGATGATGACATCATGCACGGGGTGCTGGCAGCTGGTGTCAGATCCAATATGGATGCAGTCTTTTTGGTTTTTCTAATAGATTGAAATATGAAATTAAAAATACCCACATTGTATTGGGGGCAATAAATTCTTTAAATTGCTGGTCATTGGTTTGTCCATTTTTAAACGATCATGTATGACATGTTGTGGAGATCGAGAGACTGCTTGCTACGAAATAACCGGACACTTTAGAAAGATGCAGACTTCATATTGATACTGTGAAGTCATATTCTAATGCTTTTTAGAGATTTCTCTCCAGGCTTTTCCTCAAGTTTTGTGGGTTCGGTATCTATGGGTGGCGGTGTTTCTCTTCGTTTCCTTAGAAATGAAGCTTATCTGTTTTGGCCCGGGTGAAGTCGTTTTATTTGGTGGGGTGAGCGATCATTCGAAAAAAAAAGTTTGTATTTGAAAATCAGAACAGCTTCGAGCTTGAAAAAAAAATGTAAACAGCAACTTCCACGTCGAAAACAAAAATAATGAAGACGGAATGGAAAAAAAATCATCCATTTAAAAAGCCGATTGGTAACTGTGTAATTGAATCAATTTATCCGTCATTGGAGACAAGATATCAGCTAAGTCAGCAGACAGATCGTAAGCGAAGGTGTTCATGCATGATTCAATGGTTCTTTATGGTATCTTAGCTTTTTGCACCTTTTACCTAAGTCTGATCTTGTTGAAGAGTATATAGTTTCCGACAGATGACCGCGATAGCTCAGAAATATTTAATAAAAAGACGTGCTTTCATCGGTTGCAATCGCATCAAGTATTACTGTATTTTGTGGTTTTGACTGATTCTAACTTCTATACTTAAGAGAATGCATGTCTGCAATAATCAATATAAAATCATTTTCTAAGCTGTTCCCAAAATTTATGAGGGCCTTTACCGGACAGTAGTAGGCAGATTCGAGTTTAATGATCAAATTCTTATTGATCCCTAATAGAAGTGGACTACTGTACTCAAGGTGTGGCGGGATAGAAGCCTTGCACAGCATAAGTGCAACATAACTAGGTAACAACTTTTTTAGGTGTCTTGAAACTTCAATTATGAAGCTGATGTGTAATCTGTGAAGGAATGCTTGTTGTCAATGTGAAAAACAAGAATGTTTAAGGAGCAATTTATTTTAATAGAAGAATCACCAATACAAAGAACAGGTTCATGAGCGGAGTTACCCAGCGTCTTAGCTTGGGTTTTCTTGCTTCTCATTGTTCAGTGATTAGAGAGGAAACAGGATGATAACATTTTCAGATCTTGGTAAAAAAGAGTTTCAAGAATTAGACACATTAGCCTCGAGAGATTCCCTCAGGAACACTACAAAGCGCAGATAACCAGTCAGAAAAACTCAATTTACCTTCACTGAGGAATCACCTTAATTTTTACTTCAGTCATAAAGGCTGCCTTCTAAGCCTCTATTATATATCATTCTGCTTTGCCTGAGTAGTCGCTGACTAAATCCGTCACTGATTGTGCCATGAAGCTTCTAAATCGACAACTACTTCGGCAGCAGGTTGCATTTTGACGAGGATATCCGCAATTTTGTGGCTACCATTTTTCGGAATCAGTACCAATTCGTACCTCCCTCTGCATTCTTGACGTTCATCCAGAATTTTGCTCAATTCCCTTGTGAAAAACATCATCTAAGTAACAAAAAGGGTCTTAGTCAGACCGAGGTTAAGAGAAAGCAAAATGTCATCATCCATTTACATAGACTCCATAAAACTGTTCAGTGAAAGGTGATATGAGTTTGTGGGAAGATGAAAAAAGTGGCACGGACGGAGTTTCAGGCGGTAAGCCACTGGTGTTGTTGCAGCTTCTCAATGGTTTTTATGATCTGATTACTGAGGGGATACTTATAAATCAACACAGAATTAATTTGTTTTTATACAAGCATCTGAATAGTTAGTCCTTGGTGAATAGTCATTGTTTATGGTCTATAAGAGATCTGGCACTTGACTTGCTTAAGGGATAATCTGGTTTCTTTTTTTATTTTTGTAAGAAGGCGCACAGTTTAAAAATTTGTGAGTTCGGTCGGAGAGGCTGTTTCCTAACAAAACATGCGAGATAAGATACAACTGAGATGGACTTCAGATCGTCAACACTCCGAAGCAAGTTTGTAATTTTCTTATATTTCTTTTCTGTTCTATCAAAAAATTAACTACCAGACAAAACCAAAACAAGACAATAGCAAATTTAAAAAAAACATTTAGACTCTGGTATCTATAAAAATCTGCGAGTGTGATTCCAAAAGGTTATATTAACTTGAACCATTTACTGAAATAATCCAAGTATTTAGCATCATATATAAATTAAGTTACAAAAACAAAAAATTATCTGTTTAGGTGGTAAATACAGCCACTAGACTTAAGTCCCGAAATCTGACAGTGATAGAATAAAGGGAGAAAAGTTGGTGAGGACACTCAAGTAAGAAAGGCAGCAAAGTTTTCTGAAAAAAATGTACTGACGTACCAGAATCACTCTTATCGCACTCAAAATACAGTTCATTCTTATTTCAGTTCCTCTGTATCGCTTGAATACCAAGAGGAAATAGGTAACTGCTCTTCGGAACCATCGACGACTGGACTCGAAGAAATGGGGGAGATCGAGCCTTTATGCTTCTACGATGGATACCACAAAAAGAGGGTTCTAATAGACTACTTTAATTTCTTTTATCTTGCAGTTTAAATTACACAGAAATTCGTAGAAACTGAACACTGCCTACCAGATGATCCCGCTCTAGAAGAGTAATGGGGGGAACTTTCTCAGAAGACATTTCATACATGGACGTGAGAGGCGTAGCGTACTCCAAGACAAGGTGGGGCTCTTCCACTTTTCCATCCGGGGAAGGCGTCTCTATCCGATACACTGTATGTTGGTGGCTTCTCTCTAAAATTCCAGCCCTGTTAATTTTACTCGCGGGGAGTTTGCCAACCAATTTTACCCTGGGATCTGCTTTAGAGATTAAATCAAATGTGTAGCAGTCTTTGGGCAGTAAAATAAATAGCTTCTTGTTTTTTATCTTATAACGGAATAGCTCCGAGGCGGCAATTTGATATTCCAATCTTGGCAGCACCAGTTTCAGATTGTCATAGTAATAGTTCCGAGCCAGAATATCAGCTGCACTCTTGATTTCTCTTTCCTTATTTAGAATGCCAGCAAAGAACAACCACTGCAGGACAACGAAACAGAACAGGAAAAGTATGATGGCATAATGCGGACGAGAGAGAACCTCGTAATGTTCAAAAAATGTGTAACAAAGTGGTAAAGCGGAAGCGATTGTTGCGACTAAGATATGCCATCTGTTGTAGTCTTTCCAGTCTCCTTGATATCTTGCGTATTTAATTCGAAAAGTGTCAGACTTAAAGTCCAATCTGAGCACTAATGCCCTGAACGCTGAATTAAGATTCCAAGCGCCTACTACTACGCATGGTAACAAAAAAAGGAATACGTCCCTCTTCACGTCCTCCGTCGCCAAAATAGATAACATTACGCTTACCAACACAAACACAGTTGGGGGACATTTTGCACGAGGAATAGAAAATCTTGCCAAACTAAATGGACTATCAGCCACGATGGGTACAATGACCTCCTCTGAAAATAGAGATTTTATGTTACTCATATGACTATTACAAAGAATTATTAGAAAGCAGAGTAAACAAACAGCTTTCCATTTTATTATGGGCGGGGGATCCGTTAATCGTTACTTAATCCGTCTTATTTTCAAATTCATCATTAACTACATCAATAATATTCTCGGGCTATAGCCAGAAGGTCTCTCTTGTTCAAACAGAAGGATGAAAGAGATAATTCAGTCGATCTCGACCTCTCGGATGGATTCGAAACAATGGATGAAGAGAGAAACGCAAAGGTAATAAGAAAATTACGAAACTGCCAAAGAGCTCATACCTGAGTAAGAATCCGGAATCGCAATTACCTCTGATGATGTCGTCTGTAAACACAAGGGCCCGTCTGAAAAAATTCAGTTTCAACTTAGCGTTTTATACAAGGTTAAAACAAAAACAATGGTTGATAACTCACACCTGCGTGAGGAGCTGCAATATAATTTACTCTGGTGACGTTGTTTAAGCGGGAAAACATCGCTGTCCGTCGATTTCAACTTATATGATTTAGACGTCATCAAGGTAAGGTGCCAAGAAGGTAAGAGCTGATTGGTTCTAAACACTGTGTTCATCGCCTTCGTCCTCGTGTATCTTCATGCACACCTTTTCACTTTTCAAAAGTTGTTTGTGTTTTTTTGGTTTCTTTGTTACTGAACTGAGTGAATGGATTAATAAAATCGTTCCTGAATCTCGTCCTTCCTTAGCCTAACACATGCACTTACGTTTGCAAACATAACCTGGCAGATGTTTTTACTCTATCCTCATCGTCTTAAACATCATCCACATTATTCTTAATGTCTGTTTCAAATACTGACATAACATAATGGTAACAATGATTATGATCTACGCAACAATGAAGTAATTCATACCATTCTGAGGAATCTCTTCCGTTACTCGATTCACAGAAAATTTCGGAATATGTGCTGTAGTGTCGCAATAACTATCACCATTAGCTGCAATTTCCTTGTTAACAGACGGGCTTTCGTTGACAAGTTTTGCAGTAGCTCCTTTACAGGTGCGAGAGCCAAAGTTTTGCACGGGTATTGTTACAATGGGCACGTCAGTTAGCAGGTTCTCGGTTTCTTCTTCATCGTCGTCGTGATGATCTTCGTGGTCGTCTTTGTCGTTGCCTAATTTCATGCTGATCATTTTCCGAATGAGTGTCTTACTCTGCTTCTCCCAACTGTACCTCTCCTGGTACGAGTGACGTAAATCTTTACTTTCTGTAAGTCTCGTGCACCTGTCCTTCTTGCGGATGTTCTCAATTGCTTTAGCCCATGTTCCAGGATCATCCGATGAAACAACAAAATCAGAACCAAATGGTATTCCCCTCAAAGCCTCGCCCAATCCTGAATTCGAACTGACGAGGATGGGTAGACCGGCTGATAAAGCTTGAAGCAGTGTTAAACCAAAACCTTCTTCCCTCGTGG